ACAAAGGCGGGGGACCCCGTTTCCCAAAAAAAAAAAAAAAAAAAAAAAAAGTTTTGTGCCAAAAAATGTTCTATGACCTATAAGGTCTCTAATTTCCAGGTATAAAATTCTTTGATCTGTTCAACTCTCAAAAAACTGTATACAACACAAGCACTTTCCATTTATACTAATAACCTCTTAAGCATTACCTATATTCATCCATCCATCCACCTACCCACCTTCTCAAGTTATCTATAACACGGCTAACATGTTATCTGCCTTTATTATGAGCTATGCTGTGTTATTTTTTCTCATTTGTCCTAAAATTACTATTTTTCAGGAGCTCTTTCATTCTCCCTCCCAGAATTTTATAAACCCGTTCTTGCTTACTCTCTCCCCCTCACTCACTCACCCACACCCCAGATATCTGTTGCTATTTCTTCCTGAGAGGCCTGTGTGACACAGAGACTCAGAAGGTTTCTCTCATCGCCCCCACGCCCCACCCCCGACATAAGGCAGTCTCTCCTGAGACTCAATTTAGGAGAACATCTACAGGAGACATTTATCGAAAACCAGTGCTGAATTATTCTTATCCTTATTTAGAAGCCCCTAAAATCTCTCCACTTATCTTTGGACCCTTCCCAAATATCATGGGTTTGTATTATGATGTTCAGTTTCGCTTTAGTATTTTTTTACTCGTACCTTTTCCAGATCATGCTAAGCATTTTGTGGAGTTTTGGCTTCCAGGCAATAGGGTCTTGCTGGAAAAAAGTGTATTAACAGTAGCATGTCCAGTGTAGAGGTGTGGCAGAGAATTCACCCAGGGAGGCCTCTGGGTCCTCTCTCTCACGTAACTAGGACAGCTGTGCTTTTTTTTTAACACACTGATCTGCTGCGAAGACTTCTTTTTTGGGGGTAAGGGGGTTGGGGAGGTGAGGAGGAAGAAAGGAAGGGTAAGGTTATAAAACGACTTGTCTACTGTGATTTCTCTCTTGGTTTGAAACAAATGCTGAGATCAGCTTCCTGTTTCATGCCTGCAAGAGTCCGTTTTTTTTTTGTTATAAAACCGAAAGGTTTTTCTCTGTGTCCCTGCTCACCCAAATCATTTTAAAATACGGTAAACAAGACTAATCTGGTAACTGGGTAGACATTTCAGTCTACAATTTGACTCTCTCCAGTTTAATTCACTGAAAATATTAATTGAGTACCACTCTACGTAAAGCATTGCTCTATTCACCGTCCTAAGGCAAAACTGCCTGAATGTGCCATGTTGACTAAACATGGGCTTAGATATTTGCCACAGTAGCTCCTTTAAATTCAGGAGCTTTGAAGAAGAGACAGAAATACAATGAATCACTTCAAGTCTAGATGAAAGGAAACGGCTGGCTTCTATGGTGAGGCCCTACCATACCATCCAGAGGCTTCATTTATGTTCTCTGCCTTTTTCAGATTGTGCTAAGCCACAGCCATCACCACTACTTGAAAAACTGGGGTCTAATTAATGAGGAGATTTGCCTTCTCTGCCTATTCCTGTCAACCTTATTTCAATTCACGGGGTCAGTCGTTAGACTCCAAGTCAGCTGACTCCATTCTTCCCCTTTCCTAGAAATCACATGCCTATTGTTAAGATGCTGGATCATTAAAAGTCAGAACCACGGAGCATCAGTGCTGCCTACTCCAGACGCCTCCTCTTCCAGCTCATGGAGCCGCATGAGCTCATCCTAATTACACGGAAAACTGAAGGTCAGTGCATCAAATTAATGCAGCAGCATATTTCAAAGGGGCGTATGACCTCCCCTCCCTATTACAATTCGGTCAGTGAAAATGGTTCTCTCCTCCCCGCTGCCAATATTGTCAACAGGCATTCAGCAGAGAACAATTGGGAGTATTGAAACATGTAATTAAGTACTGCTTAAAACTCCTCTAATTAATAGAGCCAATTTGCACAATATGTAATCTTTTCAGTTCTTTAGTGCAGTCCAATGGTCTTCAGTAAGCAGCTCTAATCTCCTCAGGCTCAGGAAAGAAAAGCTATTTTCTAACTCTACTCCCCTTTTAAGAGCAGGGGATAAATGCCAGCCGGTATTTTGCATGCTAACTCTACTGGCATCAAATCTGGGATTCTGGCAAAGGGCTAGCTGCTGTTGGGTTTCCAGCCAAAACTCAACCAGGGACAAACGCAAGCAATATGCTGACATTGGGCAAGACAGAAACTGGGTGACCTGTAAGATCTGGATTTTAATAAATGGAGGTAGTTTTGAAACCAAAGATCAAGTTTAAAATTCCATTATTTTTCTAAAGCTCTGATTTAGCAAATCATCAGTCAAGGAAACATACCTTTGCATTTGTTCGTTGTCTTATCCAAAATTGCCTTCGTGGAAACAATTTTCCCATATCTAAGAAAAAAAAGAGAAAAAAAGAAGTTATAATTGAGGAACCTTTATTAATGTCTAAGTCCAGAGAACACACACACACTTATCAAACATCTGCAAACTTTCAAGTACAAAATGTTCTTTACTAGGGGACGGGAAATGAGAATTCTAAACACAAATTAAACTAAAAAGGGGGAACAGCTAGGCCTCTCATTTGAATCTTTGGATTACAGTTTGATGTTTAGCTTTGAGGAATCAGGTACTTACCTGATGATCCTGGGACCAAAAAAATGGAATGTGAGCTCCATAAAAATAGTTTCATCTAGTTACACCATGTCTGTGGTCAAATACAAACCCAAAGGCAAGGCTACGGAAGTGTTAATGGAAAGTACTAAGATCAACATAGCCTGTATGAACTAATCACGGTGGGAAAGCTGGCTGGATCATATCTATTCATTTTGCTTTTGCAGGCAGCTCTGCACGGCTCTAGCTCACCACAGAAAGGTGCATATGTGTACATATCTTTAACACACTTGATGTGTTATTTAAAACAGGTCTTTTTTACCTAAGATTTTGACAACTGTTTATAAATACCTTTATTAAGACCTCTTTTAATGCTGTAATAATAGCTATACGGTGTACTCACTAATGTGTGTGTGGGCACGTGTGTGTAAGAAATAGGCAATGCAAAAATATAAACCAATGAATCAGGAATTAAGCATTACTTTTATGAGGGTTTGTATGAAAAATGTGTTCAAATTCCTTAGTGTACAACAGAAGTTGGGAAAAGAAGGAAAATAATTCAGAATATTAAAATTGAGGGCACTGCTATCAGAAACAAAGGGGCAGCAGAGTTTAAATATATGTACTGCCTACATCCTTTCACAGTGACCAGACCACAACGCAAAGCACCGCTATGTTTGTCTTCTAAAAACGGAGAAGAAAAATCTTTGAAAACTAACTCTTAAAAATTACTAGGTTTTTGGGGAATGCACATAACATACTTGAGGTATCTGAGACACTTCCCCATTTATATGTGGCAAATTCCAAAATTTTACTTTCCTATGTATTTACTTTCAAAATTTCACATTTTCTCTAATACTACTGTCTCGTGATTTCTGCTGAGGACTAAAAAGACTCGTAAAAGTTTTAGAAAATGGAAGTATCTGTGCAGCACTTTAAAACATTTTAAATGTTGCAAGGTTTCTATTTTATGTATTGAACAAGCTGAAAGGTACTTATCTAGAGGAAACAAATGGCTTGGGCCACCTCTCTCCCTCAGTTAATCTTCACTCTGTGTAATCACGTAATCAAATGATTACTAACTGGGCACATGAAAGTAAAGATAATTTAAGGTTCAAATGACAGTTACATCCAAGAGGCATAAGGCTACACAAACACCTTCAATTCCCTGTAGAGATTCTGAGTATTTATAACAACCTTAACACAGGTCACTAAGCTTACAAAAAAAAATTTTTTTAAACTCTGCAAAACAGAAACAATAAGTGATTTAAAGGCCACCTTATAGCAACCATTTATCTACCTAGGTTACTGACAGCTTGATATTTACCAGCACTCTCTCCTTTGCACAAGTTTTAGCTGAAAACGCTTTTAGACTGCATCCCTATCACACAGCCCTTTGCAAAAGTAGGGAAGAAAACTGGTATGACTCCAATGCAGGATAAGGGGATTGGGAGTCATAGAGATTAAGAGACTTTGCTTGCGGTCACAGAGTTCAGGGTCTTTTGTAAACCAAACAGAAGAAAGCAAATTTAGAGAAGGTCAGGGGCTGGCCTTCTACCCTTCTGGCTCTGCTCTCCACATTAACAATGGGGAAGAGGACAAGGAGAGAGGAAGATGTGGGAAGCAGGAAAAGTGAAGAGGCTCCTGAGAGCACTAGACTCAATCCGTGCCACACTCCACTCTGGTTTGGGTTCTCTTTGATCTTTGCTACATCTGACATTTCTCCTTATTTCCACACCTATGCTTCTAGGACCCTCACTCTCAGGGCCTCATCCTACCTTTCTGGGCACTCTTTCAGTGGGTTTTTTTTTTTTTTTTTTGGCCCATTCAGCTTCCTCCTCTCTCTCCTTAACCAAGTACTTTCATCACATTTGATAATCAGCCCCTTAACCCTTCCTTTTCCTAGGAAATATATCCAGTGCCACAGATTTAATTAATACATCTTCTTTGATAAAGCCCATTTCTCCTTCCTGGCTTTTTTTTTTTTTTTTTTAAATCTAACCAAAGCTTTAGTTTTTGTCTTCTTTTTACTTAACTATCTTAGTAGATTACTAAGATACTTAAATATCTAGTTAAATGTTACTTTTTTTTTTTTTTTTTTTGCGGTATTGCGGGCCTCTCCCTGTTGTGGCCTCTCCCATTGTGGAGCACAAGCTCCGGACGCGCAGGCTCAGCGGCCATGGCTCAGGAGCCCCGCCGCTCCACAGCATGTGGGATCTTCCCGGACCGGGGCACGAACCCGTGTCCCCTGCATCGGCAGGCGGACTCTCAACCACTGCGCCACCAGGGAAGCCCAAATGTTACCTCTTGTCCACTACTTTCTAAATCCCATCCCCAAAGAAACTCAAACACATTTTCCTTGTCTCCTCTTCATATCTCATTTCATTCAATAGCATCGTCACATTCCCAATCTTCCACCAAGCTTGTGGTCCTTGAGACATCTTCAACTCAGCCATTCCTGAATCCAGCCAGTCAATCACTCTTCTGAGTTTTGCCTCTGACATGTGTGTAATATTCACTCCTTCCCTTCACTGTGCCTACACCTATACAAAAGGCGTATCATAGTTCTTGCCTCTAGCCTTTGGTCCTTCCAACCCAGTCTGCTGCATTACTGTGCCTTAAACACCACTTTGAACATGGTTCTCTTATCTCTCCACTGCCCCCTTCTATCCATGCTTGAAGAACCTGTTGTAACACTAACTTTTCCACGAAACTCTCCCTAATCTCCTCAACCATTTAGTGGGCGATTTTATAAGAAACCAGAAAGGGAATAACATTTACTCAGTTCCTAAAGTTCTAGGCACTTTGTATGTATGATCTTATTTAACTTCACAACAATCTTATGAGGTAGCTGTTATTATTCCCATTTTTGCTAATGGGAAAACAAAAGCTCATAGAAATTTTGAGACTAAGATCTGGCCTAAAACCTCAAAGCTCAAAAACAGTTACATCTAAGTTGTCACTGCAATTTATCTATGACATAATTTTGAGAAACAATGTTTCCTTTACATACTCAGAGTATGAAAGGTGAGGAAAAAAGTGGAAGATCTATTAAGGGATTGGAATAGATTTATTTTTCAAACCAAAGCAAGTTTTTTGTTTGTTTGTTTCAGACACAAGAAATAAGTATGTGGTTCATGGTTGAAGGAGGGATGGGGGGTGTGTGTGGAGAAGAAATATGTCTGAAATTTATCCGTTTTACTTTCTATTGTGGTTTTCATCATGATTTGTGGGTTAACACTGAAAGCCCATGACTTCCCAGAAAGTCAAAACAGTTTTCACTCTGTTGCTACTACTGCATACTAGCCTCCATGCAATCAGAGGCTCAGTAAGACGCTTCTCTGGAGTTACCCGGGGTGGTGGTGGGGCAGGGTTTTGAAGCCTTTTCCTCTCCTACAATATCTTTGTCTGTGCGCTGTTCACTCAGTTAGCTTCTCAGGGGCTGATGCAGTCACCATGTTGTGGGAATGGAGTACAGAACAAGTTATTCTGATGACATGAGAAAGGATCTACAATATGGGGACGAGCCGTCTGGCAAATGGCATCTCAAGGAACAGGAAAGGGGGCAGCAGGGTTCAGAGCGATTCCCCTCTGCTAGTCTTACCCGTAGTAAGATTTAATAACGTGAGGCAAGGGATGGGATGGGGGGGGTAGAAGTCATTACAGATGATTAACATTTAGTCTAATTCTATTGTTGATCAGCAGTGCCTGCAAGAGTAACAGATATCTGGGTAGAAATTCATAAAGCAACCAGATTTTCACCTCCTCTTGTTCCTATCTGCAACTTAATTTGTAAAAAAAAGGTCAAGTAACAGGGACATAGGATTAGGAGAAAACAGGCCTCCTCACTGGCAGGATTCACACTCCAAGGACACCAAGGAGATGCAGACCCAAGAAAGCAAGCTGCAGAATTTAATGGGGAAGATGTGAATATGAAGATTCTTTGGCTTTTACCCAGCTTCAAAGTAACAAGGCTCAGACGCACAGTCCTGGCTACCCAGAATATAATATTCTTTGCTGAGAGTAGATTAATCCACTCCAGAGGAAGCTCTGACAGTAAAAGGATAAAGAGTAATTAAGAGACATGACTACAGAATAATGAGAATTTCAGAGGGAGAGGATAACAAGTAAAATCTCACATTTAAACCTATTGGCTAATAAAACCTTTTGCTTAGAAGCTACCCAAGTTCCTTTTGTTTGTACCACAGCTTTTGTCATTTCTCCCCCATTTCCATTTCTTCTTTCATCTGCTACAATATAAAATCTAAGCATATTTTAGTTTGCACTTACTAAAATAAAGCTTCATTTTCTCCCCTGCCCCCCATCACTGAGTCCTTCATTAATTCTACCTTTTTGAAAATGTACCATAATTACAAAAGAAATGTGTATTTGTTGTTATTAGAAGACACAGAAAAGCAGACTGAAATATTAAAATCACCTGAAGTCCTGAATACAAATGTTAAATGGATTGATGCGTATCCTTATAGATTTTTTTTTTAAATTTAAATTTATTTATTTATTTTTGGCTGTGTTGGGTCTTCGTTTCTGTGCATGGGCTTTCTCCAGTTGTGGCGAGCGGGGGCCACTCTTCATCGCGGTGCGCGGGCCTCTCACTATCACGGCCTCTCTTGTTGCGGAGCACAGGCTCCAGATGCGCAGGCTCAGTAGTTGTGGCTCATGGGCCTAGATGCTCCGCGGCATGTGGGATCTTCCCAGACCAGGGCTTGAACCCGTGTCCCCTGAATTGGCAGGCAGATTCTCAACCACTGCGCCACCAGGGA